TGAAGGACTAGCCAAAGAAATTTCTTACCAGTGGAATTCTCCCCCCCTCTTAATTTGTTCCATCACCTGCTTTATAACACTACCATTGTATTAAAATTTTTCTAGCTTTTGCCTTAGCATTTTCTAGCAGCTACTGCAAACTTCCATACTCTAACATCTCTTTTACAAGTGACAAATCTATACAATACAAGGTGCAGTTTCTCATTAGCAACTAGCTAGTAAATACAGGTGGTTTTATACACAAAATCACAACTTCTAATAATAGCTACTTTACAAGCACACATATTCAGGGTGTTACTTTTCAGTTGCCCCCAAGTGATGTTTTGCAGTTATTCGTTCTTTCTCTTCCTCTATCTCATTCTGCTTGGGGTATTCATGGTCAGCTCCTGTAGCTGAGGCATCAGGTTTTTCCATTCGTCTGCCCAGCTCATGGCAAGGCTTGACAAACTTTGCAGGCAGTCACCATGGACCTGTAGGCAGGAGGACACAAATATACCCCCTCCCCCAGGTTATCAGTTCTTCAGAAGTAGACAGGTTAAAGTTAAATGTAACATCATTACTCTTTCTCTCCCCCCCCCCTCTTTTTTTTTTTTTTTTTTTTTTTTCGTCCCTACAGAAGCTATCATTACTCCCACTACAGTCCCAAGTACAGAACGTGGCACAAGGACCCTGTGGAGACTAACAGCAAACCAGCTCCGAGAAGCATCATTGCAATGCGAGGTGGCAGGCTCAACCTTAGCAGGCATCCCCGCAGAGGCTCTGCCTCCCCCACATCGCATGAGGCCTGGGCTTTTATACTGACCAAAATGCACACTCATTCCGACACAGGTGGCCAGCCTGTGCTGGAAGAAGTGGCCAGCAGTATCTACAGAGGTCTCCAAGGGTTGATAGAAACCTGGACAACCAACTTCTAGTACATGAGTATCACAGAGAAACTGTATGGGCTCTCCCTGTCAATTGCAAGAAAAAATCATAACATATACAGCTTGAGTATAAGAGGATTTTAACGCATACGTGGTCACTGTTTGTCAGGCCTCCTTAACTATTTTGAGATCAAGAGCTTCCCACTCTTTAGCCCCCTGCTGTGTAGTAAACACAGGATATGCAAAGATGCCCATTGCAGAAAATTCCCCAATAATGATCACATATTTGGTTACTCATTGTTACAACTGAGCGTCTCCAGGGCCAGTAAGTCTGAGCAGACCGACCCGAGAGACGAAGAGTCAGGGTCTGGAAGCAGAGGATATAAATCTGGCTGAGATTCAGGGGATTCGGGGGCTGATCCTGCGCCGAACTAGGGGTCTCCGTTGCTCGCAGCTGTGTCTTTCTTATCAGGTGTCTCCCGTTCGGTATGTGGCCATCTGCAGACCTGGCTCCTCCATGACTGAGTTAAAAATTTTTTCACTCTAGGGCGTAGTGGGTTGGAGAGGCTCGCAGTTCCTTTAAATCTCCCGCTAGCGCATGATCCCTATTTTCTACTGTGTGCTTCACAGTGGCGCCACAATCGATCCGGCGCCGAGGCACCGCCCTCTTTCTTTCGGATTCCTCGACATTTATCATACCTTCTAATATACTTTCTCTGTCCTTTTCAAAGTCCCTACTTTCGGAACTGGGGTGGTGGGGGAGCAGGGGGTTACACCTCCTCCGCGGCACCTTCTGATGGAGGGGGAGAAAAGGAAGGTTGGGGGTGCGGGGTGGGGGGGGTGGGAACCCTGTGCTCCCGCGAGTTGCGGGGGGGAACGAGTTGTAATCTTCCCCCGGTTTCAACCGACCGGGGACGTCTGTTCCTAGTTTCTCCGTTGCTACTGCGGCAGTTTTCTTTTCTGCCTTGTATCTTTTTATACAGTTCATTACTTCCCTCCGTGGTTTACCGAGTTTCTTTGCCTTTTTATAATCATTAAGCACTGAGTCAAATAGTTCATCACCAAACTTTCGCCACTCACTCTCCTCAAATATTGTATTAGGATCTGCAAAAAAAAATTTCTTAGCCTTCCCTACAGCCAGTAGACCTGCTAGCTGCTTTAGAGTCTCAGGCTCAATTCCCCACTTTTATAAAAAGCACTGTAATAAGTCCAGGGCTCAGTTCCCCGCTTTTATAAAAAGCACTGTAATAAGTCCAGGGCTACCTCTCGGTCCATTTTCATGGCCAGCCTTTTCCGGATCGTCTTCTTCTGGGTCGTCCTGTAACCTCGGTCTCCGGATCGGCCTCCCGACGCAGCAGTGTCTGGTTCGCCCCAGCGGCGGATTCTTTCGGTTAGTCCAAGCACCCGGGTCCGTCACGCCACCGCAGCAGCATTGCCCACCCTTCCCGGCCGCTGCCGCCGGTGCCGCTCACTCGCCGTTCCGGGTCCCCATCGACCGGGGCCCTGTATCCCAGGTCCCCGCTAGTCGGGGCCCTGTATCCGGGTCCCCGTCGACCGGGGCCCTGTAATCCGGGTCCCCGTTAAACCAGGGCCCTGTATTCCGGGTCCCCGCTAGTCGGGGCCCTGTATCCGGGTCCCCGCTAGTCGGGGCCCTGTAATCTGGGTCCCCGTCGACCGGGGCCCTGTAATCCGGGTCCCCGTCGACCGGGGCCCTGTATCCCGGGTACCCGCTAGTCGGGGCCCTGTAATCCGGGTCCCCGCTAGCCGGGGCCCTGTAATCCGGGTCCCCAGTGACCAGGGCCCTGTAGTCCGCGTCCCTGTTCGGGCGCCATTTGTAAGCGGCGAGGAGAAGCAGACAGGCCAACCCAATATGGGTGATAAGCAACTTCTAGTTTATTTGTGACGCAGTTCACACATATATAGGAGTGGTATTCAGCCACTCCTTCTTGGCATAACAGTATTGGTTAGCCCCCACAGCTTCCTCCACATTCTCCTCCCAGGTCTGGTCTCCGGCCACCTGTGGGGGCCACCCCCTGCCTTGCTTGCACAGTCCTCCAGAACTCTATGGTTCTGCTCTTAGAGTCATTCTGCAACAGTAGGTTTTCTCTAGAGAATATTATTTATAATACAAAGCACCCTCTGCTCCAGTCATTTGTGGCAACATGGCTGCCGAGGAGGTAAGAATTGTGTTCTGATGGTCTGTGGATGGGGCAATTGGTGAAATAGCTTTGGGCATGTCCATATGTAATGCAGGGGCATGCAGATAACTGGGGCATATGGGGTTAGGCAGCCAGGAATGCTTTTCTTGAGAGTAGAAATGCTGTTGCATGGAAGACTTGGATACTTTATAAGTTAGTTTCTGTTACAACTAGAGGATGACAGTGTGACTTTTCAGGATCTTTCAAGACAGAAAAAAAAGCCTGTGTGTTTACTGGGATTTTGCACTTTGATGCTATTGATTTTAATTAATTCTGAATGTGAATTCATCAATTATCAGTGTAGACTAAAGTGTTGATAGAATGATGCTTTGATGGCCTCTCCCCCTGTAATAACAGGCACCTCTTATTACCATGAGAATAGGGTGCTTGCAAGAGGAAATGATGGAAAGAAAGATGCTCTGGAGCTTTAAACTTAAAGTGAAAAAAAGGAAATCAGGTTTTTATTGCTTCCACAGAAGAAAATGGTTTTCTTCTCCATTTTGTCATGGTTTCTATTTTGTCGATCTAGCCCTTCTGGGTAACAGCCCCCAGTTTATATACTGGGCATGATGTGCTCTGGTATGGAATACCCCTTTGGCTATTTTGGGTCAAGTGTCCTGTCTCTGCTTCCTCCTGGCTTCCCCTCATCCCTGGTAGAGCATGAGACTCAGAAAGTCCATGAGCAGAGTAAACAACTAAGTAATCTCAAGGGTACCCAAAGGCCATTCAAAACCTTCAGAACTCTCAAATGATGATGTAAATAGTCTGGTGGGGAAGCTGGGAATGTGAGGAAATGTCTCCTTCATAGGTTAACTACCCGAGGAGGGGAAAATAAATGTGTAATTGCTAACTACTTCCATTATATACCTCCCAAAGTATAGAGGTGATGACCACACTGGGAATGCAAGCCAGATCAGTTTCATGTTCAATGAGTCTTTTGTATTATAAATCATTACCACAAAGTACAGCAAAACAAGAACCTTAGCCAAGTCTCCCAGCCAATAAGCACTAAAACAGCAAATACAGGCTGTAAGTAAGGTACAACGTGATGAAACTCTGAGATCAAGAGCAACAACTTTGAGAGCCAATAAATCAGCATTGTGACGAGTGACTATTAATCTGAAACAATTAAAGTTTATCACAAATACAATTAGACACACTAATGTCAGATCTGTCATTATCTCAATCCTTCATGCCCCACATTGGGTGCCACAAAGAACTGTCGTGGTTTAAGCCCAGCTGGTAAATCAGAACCATGCAGCTACTCTCTCACTCCCCCCCCCTTCTTCCTCCCCCACTCGTGGAGGGATGGGGAGGAGAATCGAAAGAATGTAACCCCATGAGTTGAGATAAGAACAGTCCAGTAACTAAGTCATAACACAAAACCACTACTGCCACCACCAATAATAATAATGATAAGGGAAATAACAAGGGAAGAGAATACAACCGCTCACCACCCACCGACCGATACCCAGCCTGACCCAAGCAGTGATCTAGACCTCCCGGGTAACTGCCCCAGCTTATATACTGGGCATGATGTGCTGTGCTATATCCCTTTGGTTAGTTTGGGTCAGGTATCCTGTCTCTGCTTCTTCCCAGCTTCCCCTCCTCCCTGGCAGAGCATGAGACTCACAAAGTCCTTGGTCAGAGTAAACATTACTTAGCAACAACTGAAAACATCGGTGTTACCAGTGTTGTTCCCAGGCTGAAAGTCAAAACCACAGCACTGCATCAGCTACTAAGAAGGAGAAAAATGAATGTTACCGCTGAACCTAGGACACATTTAAATGTTTCAAGTACAGCTTTTCAGCAAACAGAAAAGCCAAACTCAAAATACAAAGCAGCCCACTTGGCAGTTGCATGTAGGAAGCACATATTCACTCACTTGTTTCAAGGGGTTCATGTTGGTGTCAGCATGACCCTTTCATTTTTCTTGCAGAAGAAGATTTACAAGTACAAGAAGGTGCTCAGTAACCCCAGCCGCTGGGAGGTGGTGTTGAAGGAGATCAGGTCACTGGTGGACATGACGCTGACATCTCCGCTTCAGGATGACTCCATTCACCAAGCACCACTTGAGATTGTCTCAAAGCTGTTCTCAGAGGTATGACCTCAGTAGTGCTCCTGCAAGACACTGTCCATTTAGATGAGAGACAAACAATTAAAAGTTTGTGGCGGATTTTGTTTTAACTTGGGCTTTCAAAATTCTGCCTTTGAGTCTGCTCCTGACTTCTGCTGACTTGAGTGGAATTTGTAATTGCTGGGGAGAAGGAGAATTTGACACTTATTAGGTAGATTTCTAGAAACAAAGCAAAACACATTTCTCTTGAGGCTTTCTGTTTGTTTTTGTTGATTGTTTGTGATAAATTTATCATGGATCTGATTCAGATCTTATTTCAAGTCAGTGACAAACCTCCCTTGGACTTCCATTGGCTTTGTTTCCATGACTGATAATTCTTGTAGAAATAATGAATATACCAATAAATTTATTATGCAGCTACTTACTATTACCAGTTCTGTCAAAAAAAAAACAAAAAAAAAGTTGTTCTTCAGAGGTTCAGCAGTATCTATCCTCCTTTTATGGCATCTATTTGAAATAATTAACTTTTCATGGACAGGAAATGTAATGCCAAGCAGGTTTTTCATGTCAGTTCTGATGTACAAAGATTTGTGATAGCAAAAATGTTGCTAGCTGCTTTTCTTGCAGTAAGCAAAGATCTTAGCAACTCACAACTCTATAACCTCTGAATGGATCATGCTGCTGAGAAAGCCAAAAGCAATCTCTTTTACTCATGTGATAGCATAGGTGACTTCCAGTAAATTTATTGGCTTTCACTGGTTCTATGATTGAAGAAGGAATTTCAGAAAAACTGCAGCAGTTAGTTTGCCAACAAATGGTATGCAACACAACAATCCCATTATTAATTTTTGTAGGGAAAAAAAAACACAAAAAAATAAACCACACACACACAAAAGATACAGCCTGTCGTAAGAAAACATTTTTGAGAAATGCATTGCTGCCTTCAGTTTTTCAAATTTTCGAATGATTGAGACCTACTCTGGCATCCTGGTGTTTGTACGCTCAGCTTTTGGATCCGAATGTGCTGAGGGATAAATGGAAGCTTGCACAAGGCCTCATATCAGAGAGTATACCACATTCTTTAAGAGAACGGTTTCAAGGCAATGATTTTCATTATGAAAATAAGCAGTTGCAGTCTTGAGCTTTTCTGCTTGTATCGGGTGGTAGCCAAGAGGACTGTGTATGCTGATGTGCCAACTGAGAGTACTCTTTGCTTAGTCATTTCTTCTGCTCAACTCTTTCAGAACAACTTAACCACTCAAGACCATGAGAACATTATTGTGGTGAGTATCTTTCTGAGAAAATCCAAGGACAAATCTGTATTGTTTGTTAATACTTCTGTTAATGCTTGCCTCTGCCCCAGTGAAGCAGGCAAATATGAAAATGTTTCCACCAATGCTGGTGAACTTCAGCAGGATTGCACTCATTTGTTCTACTGGGATTTCTGTGGTTTTGTCATTTCTCTTATTGTTTCATAAATGAGTAACAATATCATTTCCTTGTCAAGAACAGCATGTTGAGGGTTAATGGCCTCCTTACTAGGCTCCACAGTGCAATGTTCACATCTATATATGAACCTGAAATAGTCAAAAAAAATCATAGAATCATAGAGTAGTTAAGGTTGGAAAGGACCTTAAGATCATCAAGTTCCAAACCCCTGCCATGGGCAGGGACACCTCACACTAAACCATATCACCCAAGGCCTCGTCCAACCTGGTCTTGAACACTGCCAGGGATGGAGCATTCACAACCTTCCTGGGCAACCTATTCCAGTGCCTCACCACCCTTTCAGTAAAGAACTTCCTCCTTATATCCAATCTAAACTTCCCCTGCGTAAATTTTAACCCGTTACCCCTTCTCCTATCACTACAGTACCTGATGAAGAGTCCCTCCCCAGCATCCCTATAGGCCCCCTTCAGATACTGGAAGGCTGCTATGAGGTCTCCACGCAGCCTTCTCTTCTCCAGGCTAAACAGCCCCAACTTTCTCAGCCTATCTTCATACGGGAGGTGCTCCAGTCCTCTGATCATCCTTGTGACCCTCCTCTGGACTTGTTCCAACAGTTCCATGTCCTTTTTATGTTGAGGGCACCAGAACTGCACACAATACTCCAGGTGAGGTCTCACAAGAGCAAATGAAAGGGGCAGGATCACCTCCTTCGACCTGCTGGTCATGCTCTTTTTGATGCAGCCCAGGATACGGTCCCTCTGGATGGCAGTCCTTCCCTCCAGCGTATCAACCGAACCACATAGCTTGGTGTCATCGGCAAACTTGCTGAGGGCACACTCAATCCCACTGTCCATGTCAGCGACAAAGATGTTAAGCAAGACCGGTCCCAACACCGATCCCTGAGAGACACCACTCGTTACTGGTCTCCAGCTGGACATTGAGCCACTGACCATGACTCTTTGTGTGCGGCCATCCAGCCAGTTCTTTATCCACCGAGTGGTCCATCCCTCAAATTGATGTCTCTCTCCAATTTAGAGACAGTAGTGTGGGACAGTGTCAAAAGCTTTACACAAGTCCAGGTAGATGACATCAGCTGCTCTACCCCTGCCCATCAGTTCTGTAGCCCCATCATAAAAGGACACCAAATTGGTCAGGCAGGATTTCCCCTTAGTGAAGCCATGCTGGCTGTCACCAACCACCTTGTTGATTTTCATGTGCCTTAGCATGCCTTCCAGGAGAATCTGCTCCAAGATTTTGCCAGGCACAGTGGTGAGACTGGCTGGTCTGTAATTCTTGAAAATGGGGGTTATATTTCCCTTTTTCCAGTCATCGGGAACTTCACCTGACTGCCATGATTTCTCAGATATGATGGCCAGTGGCTTAGCAACTTCATTCACCAGCTCCACTAGGACCCACAGATGGATTTCATCAGGACCCATGGACTTGTGCCCATTCAGATTTTTAACATGGTCTCAAAACAGTTCCTCTCCTACAGTGGGCGCATGGTCTTCATTCTCACAGTCCCTGCATCTGCCTTCCAAGACTTGGGTGGTGTGGTCAGAGCCTTTGCCAGTGAAGACCGAGGCAAAGAAGTCATTCAGAAACTCAGCCTTCTCCAAATCCTGTGTAGCTAGTTCTCCCGAGAGCTTCCAGAGGGGGCCTATGTTCTCCCTAGTCTGTTTTTATTTGCTATGTACCTGTAGAATCCCTTCCTGTTATCCTTAATATCCCTAGCCAAGTTTAATTCTAACTGGGCCTTAGCTTTCCTAACCTGGTCCCTAGCTTCCTGAGCAACATCCCTGTACTCTTCCCAGGCCGCCTGTCCTTGCTTCCACTTATTATAAGCCTCTTTTTTCTTTTGAATTTTCCTCCGCAGCTCCTTATCCATCCAAGGAGGTCTCCTGGCCCTCCTGCTGTACTTCCTTCTAGTTGGGATGCAACACTCCTGAGCTTGCAGCAGATGATCCTTGAATATCAACCAAGAGTCTTGGCCCCCCCCGCCCTCTAAGGCTATATCCCTTGGAACCTTACTGAGCAGGTTCCTGAAGAGGCCAAAGTCAGCTCTTTTGGAATCCAGGGCAGTGATCTTGCTGCACACTCTTCTCCCTGTCCTGAGGATCTCAAATTCTACCATGTCATGATCGTTGCATCCAAGGCTGCCCTGGAACGTCACATTTCCAATGAGCCCTTCCCTGTTAGTGAGCACGAAGTCAAGCATGGCACCTCTCTTGTTGGCTCCTCTATTACTTGCAGAAGGAAGTTGTCTTTCACACAATCGAGGAACCTCCTGGATTTTTTGTGCTGGGCCGTACCGTCCTTCCAACAGATGTCAGGGTGGTTGAAGTCCCCCATGAGAACAAGGGCCAGACTTGCCCTCTAAAACCCTTTGGCTTAGTAGTTTTCTGAGGGGCTAATGCTACCATATACAGAATGTCTCCATTGCTGATGGTATGTGAGCAAGTGATTGTTTTTGTAAGTGTGGATATGTGTATGTGTCATTGCAGTTTAACCCCCTGCTTAATTTATTTATAAAAATATCTTCCTCAACTTTTTTTAGTTTGCACTTTTTTAGACATAGAAATAAGTGAGTCATATGGCATCTCTTTGTGCAACAAAATATAAAATCTCAAAAATTTATCAAAAAGGTGGAACTTGGTTCCCCATCACTGTAATTTAATTTCAGTCCCTGGCAATGTCGTGGTTTAAACCCAGTCAGGCAACTTGTTTACTCACTCCCAGTGAGTGGTGCCGAGCTGACAACAATCAAGGGCCGTCCCCCCCCCGCACCGGGGCTTTCCCCTTCCCCACTCCCGGAGGAATGGGGAGGAGGATCGAAAGAGTGCAACTCCTACGGGTTGAGACAAGAACAGTCCAGCAACCAACGTACAACACAAATCACCACCGCTACTATCAACTACAACAATGATAAGGGAAAATAACAAGGGAAGAGAATACGATACCACTGGCCAAGAAACGAGTCCCACCCGGAAGCCCGTATCCTTCCTGGTAACTCCCAGTTACCCCCCACCCAGGGCATGACGTGCTGTGGTATGGAATACCTCCCTGGCTAGCCCAGGTCAGGCGCCCCATCTCTGCTTCCTCACAGCTTCCCCTCCTCCCTGGCAGAGCATGAGCCTCTCAAAGTCCTTGGTCAGGGTAAACATCACTTAGCAACAACCGAAAACATCGGCCTCACCAACACTGTTCCCAGGCTGGAAGTCAAAACACCGCACTGCACCAGCTACCACAAAGGAAAACCATGACTGCTACTGCTGAACCCAGGACATTATCCACCCCTTATTCCATACCATTCACGTCGTGATCAGATCCCACATTTTCAATACACCATTGCTCTCCCACATATATACATCCATATACATACAGACCAAGAGGAAAAGATCATTTTCTTAGTGCATGGACCAATCCCTATAATGCTGCCGAGTCCATTCGGTCCATGATGTTCAAAGTTCATTCTCTGTTGGGATGATGGCTGGAGGGAAGTCAGGGCCAGTCGCTGGTGACCTGGAGACATCTAGTTGATGGGCTATAAAAGTATTACACAGCAGGCAACAGCATACAATTGAGTTCACTGGCTGTTTTCCCCTAAAATCAAATCCCCTTGAGGTATAAATCGGACTTCCCCATCTTCCCGCATTACCCACCAAGTATATCCAGGTCCCTGAGTGTCCTGGGTTCAGCAGTAGCAGTCATGTTTCTCCTCCTTGGTAGCTGGTGCAGTGCAGTGTTTTGACTTTCGGCTCGGGAACAGAGCTGATAGAGATGTTTTGGTTTGGCCAAGGACTTTGTGAGCCTCATGCTCTGCCAGGGAGGAGGGGAAGCTGGGAGGAAGCAGAGACAGGACACCTGACCCAAACTGACCAAAGAGCTATTCCATACCACAGCACGTCATGCCCAGGATGTAACTGGGAGTTAGCCGGAAGGGCTGGGAGACTGCAGGGTTGGAGGAGGTATCGGTCGGAGCTTGGTCGGGCTTGGGGAGCGAGTTATCGGTCAGCGGGTGGTGAGGTGTTGTATTCTGTTCCCTTGTTATTTCCTTTATCATTATTATCATTGGTGGTAGCAGTAGTGATTTGTGTTATACCTTAGTTACTAAACTGTTCTTATCTCAACCCGTGGGAGTTGCATTCTTTTGATTCTCCTCTCTGTCCCTCCGAGAGCAGGGGGAGGGCAAGAAAGGGGGGGAAGTGAGCGAATGAATTACCTGACTGGGTTTAAACCACGACAGTTCTTTTTGGCGCCCAACGTGGGGCACGAAGGGTTGAGATAACGACAGATCTGACTGGATTAATAGTCATTCGTCACAATGCTGATTTATTGGCTCTCAGAGTTGTTCTTGTTGATCTCACAACTTCAGAATGTTGTCAACTTACGTAGAGCCGGTATTTGCTGTGATAGTGTTTATCAAGTGTGGGGCCTGGACTAAGGTTCTTGTCTGACTGTGCTTTATGGCAATGGCTTGTAATACGGGTGGGCTCCAGCAGCAGGGCGGGACGGACGTGGCCGTGGACTTGTACCTGGCCGTCCGGCTGCTCTTCACCATCCTGGCCCTCACCCTACTCTCCATCTTCGTGAGGCTGCGGGGAGCCGAGGGGGAGCGGCCCCGGGAGCCGGCGGCAGCCGAAGCGGCTCAGGAGAGCGGCCCCGGGGACCAGGCGGCGGCGGGAGTGGGGCCGGAGGCCGCGAGGGGACGGCTGCCGGTGGAGGAGGTCGGGGCGGTCGAGGAGAGGAAGAGGCGGTTGCCGAGCAGCGGGAGAAGGCGGCGGAGGAGCCGAGCCCCGCGGAAGAGCCGAGCCCCGCAGAGGAGCCGAGCCCC